GCACCGACTGTTGTTATAAAATCAACACTACCATGATTAGTCTGACATGTTATAAGATACAACTTTCTTATTCCCTGTGCTTTGGCGAGGACAAAATATCCGTTTTTCTAGGATCCTCAGCGAAAAAGCGAACAAATCTGTCGCCATTTGAAATCTCCTTATTTCCCCGTTCTTTCTGTTGGTATATATAAGTAAAGATAAGTCGCTACAAACAACAAGCTACAAACTTCCCCAAAGGAATGCCTCCAAGAAGCATTACCGTTTCGAATTTCCCGAGGAGGAGCAAAGGATGTTTACAAAAGCATTTCTCCCGCTAATCGGATCTTAATTGTAATTGATGACGATAATTCTTCAGCCCCGGGTTACAAACAGGCATAAATCCTCATTTAACGTCGGCAACGGCGTGATGTTTGAAACTAGGGATGATGCAAGATTTGATAAATATCAGTTTGTCAACCATGCAACACGGGTAATCGATGCATCATCACTGTTCATTAAGTGCAATTACGAGTATAAAATGTAAAGAAAATGTAAAGCGAAGCATCTACGTACAACGATTTATGTGATTTTATCCAACAATGTGAAAGATATCTTATTTTTTTCAAAGGTTTGAAGGTTATCACTCTGGGCGATGTGTTGGCTGCTTCCAAAATTTAAGTATCACTCGCGGAGCTATGTATTTTTTAAAGAATACTTGTAATTTCATCACATTATTAGTTTGAATAATTCTTCGATTAAAAATCCATCCATCCATCATTTATTATGGGCGTAATCCTCTATTCGCTCCCCCAGCTCAAAACTAATAAAAACAATGTATTTCAAAACCCAAAAGGTCGTGTCTCCCCAATCAAATTCTCATGTCAAGCCATTAATAATGTAAATGTTATTTTATTAAATCTTCGGTTTTGTTAGATACAGGAAACAGCAATATTAACATTATAAAGTTTCCAAACAACTTATTTCAGAAAAAAAAAATCAAGAATTACTGTCTAACACAACATGATAATTATCATTTTTTTCGAGGCGAAGGAGAGAATCTTATGAACTTATTTTAAACAAATTAGAGGACTATTTTTTTAGCTCTGCCCTTCACTTAATTATCCGCGCTCTTTTAAGATTCTAATTTACAACCTGCCAAGAACCCTTCATACTAAACTACTCAATTATGATCATTATCATGAAAATATATATATAAAGTGAACCTCCTTTGATACCTTCATATCTTCTTCCGATATCTACTTTATGTTCCTCTCTCTCTCTCTCTCTCTCTCTCTCTCTATCTCTTTCTCTCCTTCTCTCTCCCTCTCTCTCTATCTCCCTATATTGCGTTCACTCTCTCTCTCTCTCTATCTATCTCTCTCCTCCTTCTCTCTCCTCCTCTCTCTCTCTCTCTCTCCTTTTCTCCTTTATTTACTCGCCTTCCCCTTGCTCACTCCGCATGTCAGTTTTAATCTGATGTCCCTTCCCAGCGATCCCCATCCCGATCTAGAGCCGTGATAACATCTCTGCGCTCCAGTTCAAATCAATTTTCCACCAATTACACATTGTGTACATCATGCTCTGTATCATGGACCCTATGAAATATGAGATGATATCTAGAAGGTCGCAAGGTTTTTGATCCATTTGAAGCAGTCGGACTGGAATAGATTTTGTATTGATCCTCTCTTTAGCCACGCAGACATGAAAATAAATAATACGCTTAAAAACTAAGGAAGTCTACGGTAAGCCCTACCTCTCTATATCTCCCAAGCACCCTCTCTCTCTAAGACACACCCACACACACACGCGCGCGCGCGCACACACAAATACACGCACACTGCCGTCCCCTCTTTCTCTCCTCTCCCCCTCTCTTTACTTTCATTCCCCTATTTTTCTCTTCCCCCCCCCCCTCTCTTCACTTTTATATATTTCTTCTACAATAGTTAAGCGCTTTATAAGTAACGTTTTTATTATTATCATTTATTATTATTACAACTTCTACGCCGTACATGCAAATATTTTTAAAGAAAGCGAGGAAATTAAAGATGAAAATAAGGCTTGAAATTTCCTTATAAAAATCTGTACGAAAAAACAATCGTCCACACAGATTTGTGTTATTAACAAACAGCATTGAAATGATGATGGTAATGAAAATTTCACATATTTAGAAATGGTTTTAGGGTCTTGACATCATCAGCGACTACAGGCTGCTGACGATTAGGTCACGGTAAAAAGAAGACTTTATCCTGTCTGCCCTCTGCACAGACCGACACTTCTTTTACGATGACTGAAATACGAGGCTCAAAATTCCACTGAAATCAAACGAATTTTCGTTTCCTGGACAAGATAGAATTTCTCTACTTCACCCAGTTTTCAAGCGTAACGAGCGGAGCGGGTTTCTTCATCGTTCGTGGTCTCGATCACTAGATCATCCCTTATACCCCGGGGTCAGTAACGGTAGAGATGGGCTCGCCCGTGGCGACTTCACTTTATACGACGTCGACGGTTAATAGTCTATCTGCAATTCGTCTTGAGTGACAGTCGTTTGTCTCCAGTCGTTTCAATCCCAGTTGCAGTGATTTAGGACCGACCATTCTGACATTAATTTTGTATTAATATGAATCATTTTGATCGTACGATATTTGCAAACTAACGAATTGTTATAGATAAAGGTTGACATATTAGTCAAAGTATATACTAAGTGTAATTACGATGACACATGTATAATCAAGAGTCTATATACTACGGAAAAAGATGACAACATTCCTTTAAAAATCACAAATTGTATGTCTCTATTTCAAAAGTGTGGAGTGGTAAATTGATTTTCGTCGATACATAACTACATACACTACAGATATATAGATGACTATGATGTATCTTGGCGTATATTCAAAGCAAGTCAGACAATGCTAAAAAAAAAAAACAATTCTTAACACCGAATCTCTCCTTTAGATGGTCACTTGTCTTTGCCATAAAACTCGATAGAAATTAAATCACCATAGGAAAAGTAACCCCTCAGCTTGAAACCAAAACTCACAATCGAATTCATCGGCGGAAAAAATCGAAATCTCCTGTTCTGTCTCTATACTAATACAAGCGCGCATAGATTTATTGATATTCACGACGAGATAGAGTGGGTATGTGCGTGTGTGTGAGGGGGTATATGTTGATCTTTCCATTACGATGGTATAAGCATGAACACGCGCAAGAGACATGGGATATGGTAACTAGCACTGCCATTTTAAAAATTGAGCCAAATCCCCGAGGCGCAATGATCGGTGTAAAATGTTTATTTTTTTAACGGCAGTGTCTAAAAGTCTGTTTATATATTTCGATCAGGGGGTGTTTTTAAAAAGGATAGTGTCTGTCTACTGGTCAGAAGTTTCAAATATATAGGGGAAGTCCACCCTGATAATTATCTGGTATTGATACAAGCAAATAATGAGAGAAACAAATTGGAGACAGTTTGTGCAATATCCGAACAAAACTAGGAAAGTTATCTATTTTTGAAGTTGTCATCAGTGAACCACAAGTTGGTAACACTACTTGCGCGGTCCTCACCAATTTGCTCTGTAATTTTTTCCATAAGTTTCATTTTCTTAGTTATTGATGAGACGGAATAAATATGGTTCATACATGGGTTGTGTACAAATATATTTGCAATACTTAAATTTAGGGTGTATGGATGATTGACAATTTTCTTTTAATGAGGAAAATAGAAACTTCTGATTGTTTCAAAGGACAGACCAAATGTGAGGGGGCATCTCATGATAAGTCACAGAGTTGTTCATCTGTGTTTGATTGATCGTAACACCAAAACAAATCATAACTTTCTTATTTCTTATCTTTAATCGGATTTTGCTCAAAACTTCACTAACCTGTTTCTCTCATTTTTGCTGTTATTTAAGCCAACTTGATATATTTGTTTGTTTGTAAACTTGTTTTTAAAAAAAATTGGTATGTGATTTGTTATAGGATGCAGAAAAAGTTTCAGCAGTATTATCTTTAATAAATCACACAATGTTTCTAATTATATTGTTCGTTTCTTTGATTTTTTTTAATACTTACATCGTGTTGATGATTGCATGAATTTACAAAAAGCGACTTTATATTTGGCTTTTTGATAATTCCTAGGTCTCGATCTTATGAGTTCTAGACTAAAATATTTCAACCATTCCCATGCTATTCTCCATTTAAAAAAAGTTGAGTTGTATTACAATTCCAGGGCCTCACGATTAGCATCAACATAGCCTTCCAACTATCATAATAACCTCTTGTCTGTCAAGCTTATTTTCAAAATCTTTCAGCTCCTGTTTGGCATGCCTGATTTACATCCAACATGTAAAGAAAATGCGAAATGTCGGTGTTGGTAAAATCCATAGATTTCACTTACCAACGTGCAAATGGCAATTTTATGATCGTTTGCATGCGAGAACGTCGTTGAGTTTGATACAGAGTAACGTATACAGACATAACGCATCTAAATTATGAGTAATCTTCCCATTAAAGAACCTCAGCCGAGGCTTAATTGCCAAAAGGAAATAATTTGAAGGATAATCGCCAGACGGTGTGACTTCAATTTTACTCATCATTGCAGTTTTCCACTGCCCTCGTATTGCTCTCATATTAAATCCCCTGGTTTCCCTCTCTCACTCTCTGTCTATTTACCTCTCTCTCTCTCTCTCTCTCTCCTTCTCTCTCCTCTCTCTTTCTCCACCTCAGTCTTTCTCTAACCCGGGTTCTCTAAATCACTGTCTCTTTTTACACTATATATCTCTTTATCTATATATCGGTGATTACTGCATCTATCTTTTAAATTTATACTCTTTTCAGGATTTTTGTTTGCTCAAGTACTGGTTCATCAATGTTTGAAACCGTATTAAATGCTTCGCCAGAATAACTCCATTCCCTAGCGACTAGTAAAACGTTTGATACAATACTTATGAATTATATCAAGCAATTACTCTTCTTGACTTTATATTCCTTTAAGTTTTTAAATGAACTATAAAGTCATGTTGATTCTACCTCCTTTATAATTACAGGATCTCGAAAAAGAAGAAGACAGCCTTATCAACGCTCTGGAGAAAGTCCTAGCCGATGAAGAGGTGATTGACAACGCAGAGAACGATTCCGACGACGAAACAGGGATAACAGATCGAGAACTGTCTCTTATGCTTTCCATGTTGCGTGATGATGTTAGCCCCAGCCGCCTCCGAGGGTACTTTGGCGGTAAATGGAGACCAGCGTACTACCCCTCCGAGTCATTACATGTTGGTGCTTTGGAACCTCTTGCTACGGGATTTTTACCAAGTCGCTACTCAGGCCAGAAAAAGAGGTTCTTGACGGGTGCTTTGGAACCCCTTAGCAGTGGGTTCATCAAGAAAGGCTTTAATACAGGTATGACCGAGGTGTGGTAACTCCATGATCATAATGATGATAATGCCATTGTAAGACATATGCTCCAGTGACAATATTGCTCCGCGATCTATTCCCAACTCTAGTAGTAAGAATTCCTAGCTTCAAATGTCCACCCTACGCCTGCACACTGTGCTTTATTATAGTCCTATATCGAACCTAACTGCTACACTAGACCAGATCCTATGGTCTGTATTCACGTAACTCAGTTAAATAATGTCACCGAAGCAACTGTCGGATCACTGATAGTTCATTCACACCGCCAACCAGACTCCACCCCTAGTCCAAACTGACCAATTCCTTCCCATTCGTAGTATTAAAGTTACAGACCAGTACTGTTCTGGTCATGCGATGGCATTGAAACGTTGTGGAATCGATCAGAAAAGGTTGCTCATCTAGCATATCAGTATTAGTGTGTACTGCAAGATTCTGGAATCATCAAAATGATAAGAAATTTGGCCCGGTCTTGGTAAAGTTACAAGCACTGTACACAGAAAGATGTATATGGGACTACGCGATATCTATCCAGGCCGGATCGATATGATAATTTACCAAATATATTATTAGTAGGCGGTTTCCCTGCAAAAATTGTGTCATCACGTATTAGTCAAAACGTTTTCTTTCACATGATTGGTAATAAGAGCTTCCATTTCATTTTTTGAGAGGGGGGGGGGGCGTTTCCAAAACTGGTCTATACCTTTAATTGTATTACACATTTTATCGGTCTGGAGTCGGTCTCGTCGGTGAAACTGAGGAGCCATAGTGTGTTAGTCGGATTATGGACCTACTACGTAGTAGGTCCATGATCGGAGCTATGCTTCATCTCCTATACTAGTAGGCGTTTGTAAAACTACCTTATCAAAACTGTCAATAAATGAACGTGGGATAATCTAGATAGATTAATTATGTCAGATTAATGATGAATCTAGGAGTGAGTTCTATAAATATAGAATGCAAATAATTATAGGCAGGGGGAAATTGTTATGAGACAAGGAATGAGTATAAATAAGAACGTTTTAGGCTGCCCCAGACACAGACCAGCATGACGACTATATCTGGTTTATCAGCCTCATCATACGACAAGCACGATTACACATGGACTACAAACCCATGGTTAGGTATACAAGAACAACTTTCCCTCTTTTACCAAGTCCCACATACCACCAAGACGTCTAACCCTGCATTACCAATCTCAGGCATCAAGGTGGCTACCCCTGTATAAACAATCCACTGACAACCTCCACACGGACTATCCCCCAATGAATACAAAGCCTAGACAACGAATATCCTTGTGACTACCGCTACATGGTCCTTGAACCCGCGGACAACATCCACCCGGATAATTGATTCTTGACTACCAGCCTCTTGAATATTTTTGGACGAGTGCCATGGATTATACCTCCATTAAATAACAACTCCTAGACTATCGGGCCCTTGACAACAAGCCTGACAAGTGCAACCTAGACGATCACTTGACCATCAACCCCAAATGAATACCCTTGACAATGAGTCTCTGGAGAACTACCAGCCGACAAAAACCCATTTCAATGAATACCACTCAACTGCCACATTGTCCACATGACCTCATCTACCACAGGCGACAAGCCATTGACCTTTGACTACCTGACCTGGGCAATTACCATCTGGACAACTACCTCCCAGACCAATTATAAACCAGATAATAGTCACGTTGATGGTCTAGAAGATAAGCACTTGTCCAATTGGGGTTATCTTTTGATTTGGTAGTCGTTCAGGGTACAACATAACTTGATAATTAATCAAACATTTTTCTTTCTTCAAACATATTAGGTGCCATGGAACCACTTGGCTCAGGGTTCATGAAGAAGGGATTCAACAGTGGAGCCATGGAACCACTTGGAGCCGGATTCTTCAAGAAGGGATTCAACAGTGGGGCCATGGAACCACTCGGAGCCGGATTCTTTAAGAAGGGATTCAACAGTGGGGCCATGGAACCACTCGGAGCCGGATTCTTCAAGAAGGGATTCAACAGTGGGGCCATGGAACCACTTGGAGCCGGATTCTTCAAGAAGGGGTTCAACAGTGGGGCCATGGAACCACTTGGAGCCGGATTCTTCAAGAAGGGATTCAATAGTGGGGCCATGGAACCACTTGGAGCCGGATTTTTCAAGAAGGGATTCAACAGTGGGGCAATGGAACCACTCGGAGCCGGATTCTTCAAGAAGGGGTTCAACAGTGGTGCAATGGAACCACTCGGATCAGGGTTCATCAAGAAAGGTTTCAACAGTGGTGCCATGGAACCCCTCGGATCAGGATTCATTAAGAAAGGGTTCAACAATGGTGCCATGGAACCCCTAGGATCAGGATTTATCAAGAAGGGCTTCAACAGTGGTGCCATGGAACCTCTAGGATCAGGATTCATCAAGAAAGGCTTCAACAGTGGGGCCATGGAACCCCTCGGATCAGGATTCATCAAGAAAGGTTTCAACACTGGTGCCATGGAACCTCTAGGATCAGGATTCATCAAGAAGGGCTTCAACAGTGGTGCAATGGAACCACTCGGATCAGGATTCATCAAGAAAGATTTCAACACTGGTGCCATGGAACCTCTAGGATCAGGATTCATCAAGAAGGGCTTCAACAGTGGAGCCATGGAACCACTCGGAGCAGGATTCTTCAAGAAGGGGTTCCACGCGGGTGCAATGGAACCACTCTCATCTGGATTTATTGACGGCAAACGCGGTTTCTACAACGGTGCAATGGAGCCTTTAAGTGCAGGATTCCACCAAGGAAAGAGAGGGTTTCACGAAGGTGAAATGGACAAAGACAAGAAAGGGTTTCATAATGGTGCTATGGAGCCGCTCAAATCAGGCTTTCTAAAAGACTAGATTTCACCTTCCTGTCTATTCTGGACTTCTTGCTTTCGTTCGGTCCCGACTTCAAAGGTATATTTAGAATATCAACAGCCATCCCTAAACATCATCTTTCTTGGGAATCACAATATATTAGTTTTTTTATGCTGGTTTACTAACTCTATTCTTGTTTACGATGTATAGCTCTTGAAATATTGTAACCTTGACTAACTTTAATTTCAATTTAAGTTTGAAAGAGATTTATTTTACTATAACTCTTTACACTGTATATTATCACCTTTCTGCTTCCATCTGTAGATCAGACACGTACTAATAACCCATCAATCTTAACCTCCATGAGGTTGTGACCGGTGAATTATTGTTCTTTTGACGAAGATGGAGATGAGTGTCCCCAAAAGTTCATCCGCACGCATACAAATGTTGCGTTGACCTTTTATCACCAGTTATAAATTTTCCCGTTCTTCGCTAAAACGACTAATCTTTGGATTTTCAAATGGGTGTTCTTTTGCAACGTTCCACTTTCCTTTTGTTATAATGAACTTAGCGCGTCTAATATTGCTATAAGACGTCAGATCTTTATTTTAGCATAAACGTTGGTCTAAGTAAGAAACTGAGGAACAGATTAAATGAAAATGTAGCCAGAGGAGGAGAAAACGTAGCGTTTATTAAATTCATTATATTTGTTGCTTTGCTATAAGTATTTTCGTGAAACATTCCAGAAATGCACGCAGATTATTGAGGATGTAAATTAGTCGTGTTGGCATTGTCATTTATGAACTTCTATTTTTTATGTTGGTGTCATGTTTTCCAAGGATTAAGTTTGTGTCTGCGAGTTCGTAGAAATGTTGTTCGAAAAATTGTCACCGTCTGATTATCAAAATATTCTTCCTCTGTCAAGCAAACGGGATTTAGCTTCATAACTTTTATTTCTGTTAAATGAAATGCAGACTTTATAAGAATTCTTTCGAATATACTTTTATTCTTACTTTTATTTTTGCTTTATCATTTTATGAAATAAATCGTCTTACGTCGAGTCTTGTTCACGTTTATCATTCTGATGTTGTTGATAGTTTGTAATAAAAATGGGTTATGTTTGTATGTCCAAGTCAAAAGAAGATAATGGAGGATAGTAATAGCGTATCTTTCAAAGAGTGAAAACAGTGTACGCCCCACCCCTCCCGAAAAATTGTGCGATGCATAATAGATCAAAATATAATATTCAACATTTATAATGACAAAAATACTACCACTTGTGACAACACGGCCAGGAAATCAAACGCCCAAATAATTATATTTCCCACCATAAAAAATGTTAACAATAAAGAGAATCGTGTACCTTATCTACTGTTATTATGCAGAATTACCATATGGTCAAAGAGGGCAAAAATGTATTAATTTCTAGCATCTATGATCAACAATTCAAGAACTTGTAAATTGTTGAATACTACACCTCTAAAAATGATAGCGCATTTACATGTTAGAACGTTGTAAATGTGCGTTTTCCTTACTGGCAACTCCATTTAGCCATGATGGCAGAAGTAAAATAAATAAGGAAGGACGGTGGCTAATCCTGCCGTCAAATATGAGAGCGGTCGGTTTTTACATAAGCTTCGATGTGTGTTTTATTCATGATTTGGGGAGAGATTCTCTCTTTTTCTGTCTTTCCTTCTTTTCTATATCTCTACCAGCCACCCCTTCAATAATACTACTTCGAAAGAGTGTTTAAAAGCGTCATGTTCATAACGCAAATTGTTGAAGGCGCTGAGAGTGTACATGAAAAATATTAATTTTAACTAAAATTATCTTTTTATCTATGAATCTCTCCCCTTCTCTGTGTCTAAATTTCTTCTTCTCCGATTTGTGTATACTTTGTACTCTTAGTTGTCCTTAGTCCGATATTGAAATTCTATCGTCTACCATGTCAACAGTACTCAACTTATAGAAATGCAAAAGATATTTATGATGAATTACAATCAAAGCAAGGATTGTGCGCATGACTTTTTTGTTCTGTGTGTAAAAGTTGGAATTCAGATTTTTAATTTGATTTAACACTAAATTAAAAATAGTCATTAGTAGCATGCCGACATTAGGGTATATGTGATAGACGAGAATTATTACTAATGTTAATAAGATTGAGTATTACTTTACCAATTGTGTCACACACCAATTCAAGCATAAATATAGTCTTTAAATTGAAAAAAAAATGTCGCCTAGTAACATGTTCATCTGTTAATGTTTCCATGTTTAGCTAAAAAAAAAAAGGTCAGCGATTTTTAAACACAGAAATCACAAACTTATTCTTTTTTTCAGTTTGTTATTTTCGCCATGCAGCTTCAACCCATAAGTTGGACGAAGGTGTGTTTTTTGAAGCAGATATACCTGTCTGACGATTCATAAAAAGTGATGCTTTGAGCATGCCGACTGTATTCTGTATCATACGTAATGTGAATTATATCTATCAATAAATTTAAATCAAAAGAATACTTCTTACAACCGATCGAGCCTCTACTTGGGTTTTAATTTTTGTTGTTAAAGCATTAATAATTAGTTAGATTTCAAGACACTTTGCTAATATTTAGAGAGTACTCACATCAAATTAATTGTCTACGACTCAAATTCATACAATGCACAAACTGTAGTTTGATTTGAATATCAAGTTTGTTCGGTAATTCTCAAAAATAATTCAACTCCTTTTGAACACGTATAGAAAGTACAGAAAATAGAATTACAAATAGAAATTAGAAATGGAAATTAGAAATGGAAATGAAATGAGAACAGAGTGACAAAGAGAGGAGAAGAAGAGAGGCGAAGAGGTAGGGTAGAACGCAAAGGAATAGGGAGGGAAGACAGCTGAGGTTGAGAAAGAGAGATAAACGAGAGAGCGAATGATAGAGGAGATCGAGGTAGAAAGGTGGGAGTGAATAAAGATGGCGTTTGGAGGATGTGACAAGGAGGGAACATGAGACAAGTCAACAAGGTATGAATGATTAAAGGCACCAGTTTTGGAAATGTCCCCCTCTCAAAAACTGAAATGGAAGCTCTTATTACCATTCATGTGAAAGGATATGTTTTGACTAATACATGATGATAAAAAATTGCCGGGAAACCGCCTACTAATTCATTTTGGTAAATTGGTTTTATCTATTGGGACCAAATAGATAATACGCACGTGTCGCGCATGTGTGCGTAGTCCCATATTTATACATCTTTCTGTGTACAGTGCTTGTAACTTTACGAAGACATGTGCCAAAATTCTTATCATTTTGATGATTCCAGAACCTTGCGGTACACACCAATACTTATATGCTAGATGATCAACCTTTTTCTGATCGATTCCACAACGTTTCTTTTACAATGCAATCGCATGACCAGAACTGGTCTTTATCTTTAAGATTTTGTTAAGGAAAAGGTTGAGTTCTGATAAAGATGACTTATCCAGTTGGGGGAAATGCAACAGATAATGTCTCTAAAGAGATATCTCCTAAAATGCCTTCAAATTCGAAATATGACAAGAAATAGCTGAGACGTTTGGACCAAACTGTCATACCACATCTTATATAGTCCCATATACACATATCAGTGTGCAGTTCATGCAACCTTCAGCCCAATTTGGTCCATTTATTTAAAGTTGATGATTCCAATAGAATACCGAAGCTGTGAAATCATAAAAATCTATTTTTTAGAATGTCTAAATTTGAACTTTATTTTCCGAAATTCCTATAGGAACTCAGTGTTTTTGTGCTCTGGTTCATAACATTACGAACCAGAGCAAAATAACAACTGAGTTCCTATATAGGAAATCTATTTATTCACATTGTCATATCTCAGCCAATACTTAACATATTCAATTGGTTTTCGACATTTGGACATTTTTGTTAATGCTCTTTCGGAAAATGAAGTTCAATTTGAGAAATTCTAAAAGTATCTATTTTTATGACGTCACACCTCACCACTCTATACCTTACGGTATATACGCCCATTTTATGTTCTACACAATTACCCTTTCCCCCATTGATTTCACTTTCTCTTATGATTCAGTCCCACGATCAAAATTTGGAAGAAACGTACGGACACAAAAGGATAAAAGAAAGGGCACAGAGAAATAGGTCACAATGCAATCTGGCAGACCAGCCTTCTGACATTAATTTTTCGGAAATTATTTTGTGCAAAGAAAGAAAAAAAGAGAGAGAGAGAGAGAGAGAGAGAGAGCAATAACGATTTTCATTTAATGTTAATGACATTCATGGATTATCATCGAGATAAACACACCTCAAAATATGTCAAGGGAATGTCAAAATATATCAATCTTATCCTTCCCCTTTATCTTGTCTTGTAAAATCAATATTAAAATAATTAACTGTAATCTTGAACCGCACAGGCGATAGTTTGAGCTTTAAACAACCACATTTAAGTGGATCTGGATTTGGGTATATAGGCAATCTCTATAATCCATCATGCATAATGTTATCTATCTGGCTAATACCCGCAAAACCGTTCAGTCGAAGTGTAAAGGTATAACATGTTCTGCAGTTTTTAAAGTAAAAATGAAATTCATATTTTAACTTTTTAGACAAGACATATATTACTTAATTATCATGAATTAATATTATGCCAAAATGCAACTTCCGTATAAAGAACGCCCAAATGCTAGTCAAATGTTAGAGCCTTTAAGTTCAAAAGTGACACTTTTAAAATAATGTCATATTGGTTTGTCCTTATGATGCAAAATTTGAATTTAACACTTGGTTATTATTTGTTTATAGATAATGGTCTATACAAGGTTTGGGAATCAAATCCTTTTAGGCGAATTATAGTGTCTCTTAATTAAATCAAAGAATTCAATTATTGTCGTTTTTTTTCTTTTCTCATTTCTTTTTATAGATACGTAAATGACCGTAGAATGTAATGTAATAAAAATAGTAACAATAATTTAAAAATCTTGTATTAATAATGTATCGACCTGCTGGATGTGATTATAACTCTTGATTTTTAGACTAAAAATAAACTGAGACATACACAAAAGATACTGTGCTTTTAAATTCAACAAATTTATTGTCCATATATTTTTTGTAGGCATAGATTTCTCCAAATCCTTACCTTTACGATTCTCTTTGATATGTGTAAGATAATCCTAGGTTTAGGCGAGCGAGGAGAAGACATATTCCTTTACTTTATCAGATTGAGCCGAACTGATAATAATCCAGTATGTAGAATCCTTATAATAATGTCATTTATATCTTTGTTTGTTGAGGAAAATCTCTAAAGAGTCAAGAAAAAAGAGGTGATCAATTCTTTGTTTCCGTGGTAACGAAAAGATGTAACTGACGTAGGAGATGATAGTGACGCGTGATATATACTATATAATATTGGAGGTATTCAGTAAATCGTCTGTTTTGGAGACAGAATGGCGTCAACTCATACACTCTAATACACAATCAACGCCCTTCTGCCTCTGATGAACAAAAGAAAATATCTGTCATAAATCTTGGCGACAACCCCCCCCCCCCCCCCCCCATAATCACGAACTATATGAAGGTTCACAGTTTTAGAGTGTAGAAGGAGAAATGGGTTTACAAATTCGAAAGGTCGCAGGTGTGTATAAACACGGTCAGAATATCGAGTAATCTTTACGCCTGAAAATGGAATAGAAAACATTAAACCTAGTATTTTGAAACAACTAGTAGATTCCGTACCAAGAAAGTTCAATTTAGTCACACTACCCGGGAACGGGAGTTCTTGGGGAGGGGGGTCGAGGGAGGCACCAATCAGCGAATCTCGTGCTTAAAATGAACCTCAAAATTGGAGGAATTTTTATAATTTTTCAGTTAACTTAATCAAAAATCATATGTTTTAAAATGGTCCTATTTACCCATGCAGGCTAGTCACATCAGCCCAATACTGTTTCTTCCTGCGGCAGCCTGCGATTATTTTCACCCAGCAATAATTGCCATGTACCCATTTACACCTGGGTGAAGAGAGGAAAATATGGATTAATATCTAGCTAAAGGACCTTAGTGGTGGGCTGAGATTCGAACCCTCCACCCTTGGACTGAGAGTCAAGTGCATGAACCACTAAACCACCATGATCACAACACATCCACATAGTTACTTCACCGCGCTGCCAGTAGAAATCTCTCCATGGTGCTTGTAATATTATGGAGTATTATTATAAGGTTCTCACAAAATCCTTCGAAATCCCTTGTGTTCTTGTTTCGGAAATCATTGCTCTAAACAGCTAATAATTTCTATATCAACATAGGCTCTTTATTAACAAGAAATCGCTCACTTCAAAGAATAGGACAACATGATTTCTTTTCTTTTTGGAAGGGAGGGGGGGGGGGGATTAAACAAAAGAAAATTAAAGTTGTCAAAGAGTTCTTTACTTTACTTTTACTTTATCAGCCGTTGTCAATCCACTGCAGGATGAAGGCCTCAGCATGATGTTTCCAAATGCCTCTGTTCAGCGCCTGTTGGTGCCAATTTGTCTGACCCCAGAACTGTTGCAGCTCGTCTCGCCATCTTTTTCTTTGACGTCCCCTGTTTCGTTTTCCCTCGTATGGTGTCCAATGAGTGATTGCTGAGCTCCAGCGATTGTCTTTCCTGCGGCTGATGTGGCCTGCCCAATTCCATTTCCTTCTTTTCACTGTTTTAAGGATGTCCTGGACTTTTGTTTGTTCCCTGATCCATTTGTTTGTTTTTCTGTCTTTGTATGTGATGCTTAGAATACTTCTTTCCATGTTGTGTTGCGAGGCTGCTAGCTTTCTTTCCATTTTTGAAGTTAGCGTCCATGTTTCTGCAGCGTATGAGATTGCTGGGATGATGCACTGGTTATATACCTTCTTTTTCAGGCATAATGGAAGTTTGCCTTTCATGATGGTGCTGTATCTGCCAAAGGCTCGCCATCCAGCTTTGATTCTTCTTCTTATTTCGTTGTCTTGATTTTTGTCTTGGAGGGAGAAACGTTGTCCTAGGTAAATATACTCCTCTACTTGCTCCATTTTGGTACCGTTCACTTGGATTTGTTTTGGATCTTTGGCTGATCCTGCCATGACTTTAGTCTTCTTCATGTTCATTTTGAGGCCTGAAAGTCGGCTTGCATCGTCCAGTTCTTGTAGCATTATTTCGAGGTCGTTTAAGTTGTGAGATATGATGACAATATCGTCTGCAAATCTTAAGTGACTCATGTTTTCCCCGTTTATGTTGATTCCCTTTGATGACCAGTCTAATGTTTTGAAGATGCTCTCTAGGCAAGCAGTGAAGAATTTTGGTGAGCCGGTGTCACCCTGTCGAACTCCCTTTCTTATCATGATTTTGTTGCTGGCCTTGTGCATTCTGACAGTGTTGTAGCAGTCTGAATAAATGTCTTTAAGGATTTTGATGTATGTATTGTTGATTCCTTGGTCTTGAAGTGCCTTCAGTACTGCGTAGGTTTCTACGGAATCAAATGCCTTTTCATAGTCTACGAATGCTACGCATAGGGGGATGTTGAACTCTTGG